AGTAGTAATTAGACCTCACCACCCTCATCGCCACTAGGTAGGATCTAACATGTATCCTTACCTGTGTTCGGTCGGATTCGGTTCGGGTAACCCTCCAACTGCTCTCTAGGCGTCTTTTCCGGCGTTTCATCTCTCTCAGCCCCTCGGTGAACCAAGGGGCCAGTTGAGACCTACGCCGGGTCAGAGGCCGCAGCGGCACAATTACATATATATATATATGTAATTAAACTAAATATATGATCCCTGGGTGCATCCATGCCAAACAAATAAAATAAAACGAACACCAGGGTAAAATAATCAAACTCTAGGAGTTTAATGTTACAGTACCAAATGCCAAGCTTTCGTCAGCGTTCTGCTGACATCATCAGGGCTTAAACGGTCAGTCTATGGGAGAGTCTTTTATAGTTCGAACTTGGTCTGCACACGGCCCCTGGACCTTGTTACTGGTCCTGGTTGTATCAGCTGCGCTCCAGCGGTGATCCTTCCTCCGCTGGTTGTCCCCATCCTGCAAGACTTATCTGTGCGGTTGCTCCTGATCAGCTCGTTCGCCCGCGGTTTGGGGGTGGAGGTGTCACTCCTCTTTCTCTCTCTCTTTAACCCCATCTCCCGTTCCCCTTGTGTATGTGATTCCATATTCCTGTTCCCCACACTGGTTGGGCCCCCTTGGCACACTTTCCTTTCTGGACCCCCACTGGGTTTGGTTACCCCGCTGCCGCTCCCACAGGTCTTCCTCTCCCTTCCTACGGTCATATCCCCCACGCCTCTTTTGCCCCCTCGCATTTTAGCTAGCTGATAAAAAAACGATGTTTTTAAATAATTTTAAATAGTCCCTGTTTTTAACTAATTTTGAATTAACAACTTTTTCATTCCCATTCCATAAAAATATAAGAAAATGACATGTTGGTGTTATTCATATAATCACTCACTTGAACACAATCTGTTGTATATAGATATATTTGTTAGGAAAGCTGCTATGTAGAATTCTGGATTGGCGCCTCCAATTCTGATTAATTGGACATAAATATATATTAAAATATATTATATAGATCAAACTAGGTGGCTGATTTCAAAATGTTGAGTAAGGCTGGGATCACTATAGCCTACTGCATAATACCACAATACAAAAAATGCCTGAATCTTTTTCTAGACCAGAAATTACAGCCATTGAATAGAGTTCATTAGAAAGTATCAGAGTTATATATTGGACTGGGAAGTCAAAAAAAATCTGGAAGAAGAAAAAATTTAAAATCTTTTCTATATTGTTGCTAGGATAGCTATATGGGCATTTCCATGAAGTCCCCAGGAATTAATATGGTTTCAAAGGTATTAACAGCTCAAGAGTTAATCTGGACATGGAAAAAAATTTGAAGTAATTAAAAATTGAGTTCCAATCAAAGAAAGCATTATTATTATAATACACTTAATTGTATAATGAGTGATAGTTTCAACCAGTCCTCATACTTACGGCTGGTGCAGAGTCCCTAAGGCCCTATGATTGTCATTTGTGATCTTCCTAGAGGGCTTCCAACAAGCAAAGTCAATGGGAAAGCTGGCAGGAAGTTGCAAGTCACGGCCATGTGAGGTCCTTGCTTAACAACACCTGCATGGTCGTCACTTAATGACAGCAACTAGGACTGCCACAACTGCTATCACTAAATGGCATGACCACATGGTTTTTTCAACTTAAAACTGTCACTTAATGGAATTTAAGGTCCCAATTAGTGTCATTAAGTACATTTTATGAGCTGTATTAGCCATGTTAGCTCTTGAAGGTGAAGATCATTCCTGAATAACAGAGCATCCGTGCAATACATAATGACCAAGCTTTAACCCATCCTTTTGAGTTACTGTTAGTCAAAATAGTTTAGAATAGATGGACCAATCTACTTTGAGGGTGTGGAGCACTAAGTTTTACTACTATATATAAATGTTTTGCATTGACAAATTTGAAAATATAGTTCAACTTAATAGACGTTTGTCTCCCTTTTGTCCCAAAATAATAATATGCATGTTGAAAGTTTAAATTTTTAATAAATGTTTTGTCTATTGATTCTGACATAAATTTTGAGAGCTATTAATACTACTTGTATTTTGTTGCTGTATACAAGAAAGCATTTCCTGGTGTCTTTTACCTCTAGAAATATGGATCTGACTTTTTTTTTATAGGCATGCACATCATATAGATCCGATTATTCCTAGACAGGCACAAAAATCATTTATTCTAGCAGTGCTAGAACACTTTCAGATGTTATAATAAATCAATAATATCTAGTAATTTTTAATGTAGTCAGAGGTACTAATTCAAAATACATATATCTGAGTAATTATTTAACTCTTTTTAGATGCCATTATCTTAATG